CTTCTTTCCCTTGCCACCCTGGTTCTCCTGTTTGCCAGTTGCCGGAGCCGCATCCTTTCCTCCTGACTTCATCATCGACTTGACCGATTTCTCCTTCATGTCGAGCATCAGGTCTTCCCGATCTGCCTTGATCTGATAGTCGATCAACGCCAGTAGGAATTCATACGTCTTCTGGGGATGCTTGTCCGGTAGTCTATGGTAGGCATTGAGGCCGAACTCCATCTTCTTGCTCCCTTTGATCTTCCTGTAGAGGATGTCTCTGAGAGCCAGCTTACTGGGTCTGTCCTCGCTCCTCATCTTCAGCAGCAAATCATACCATTTGTTCCTGAACATGACCAAGTTCTTGTCGCCAGGAAAGTCAAGGTTGAATAAATGCTCGATGTGGTAGACAAGATCCGTTCTATCGGAAGTTCTGAATGATTGCATAACCAATGCCACCAACTCTCGTCCCTTCACGATCACCCCTTGTTGATGTCGTAGTTCAGAGTGTCGTGTAGCATCGAGGTATACGTCCTTGGCTTCGTCGGGCGCTTGCCTCAGCATGTTCTGCATGCCCATGGCCATCTTAATATCTATCGTAGCAAATCTGTCGCCACCCGAATCGCTAAGCGAATCCAGGTCTGGGTTCAACCCAAGAGCCTGTTCCAGCCATTTCGTCCATGCGTCGGTATCTGGATCTGCACATGCGCTCAGAACGTTCATCAGCAGTTGCATCTTCCAGGTGTCAAGTTGATGGATCTTTGGCCAGGCCGGAATAGATACTCTCTCGGCCTCTTTCCTCGAGATTCTCGGTCGATCATTCTTGATCTCTCGGTTATCTCTCGATCTCCTCCGTCTCCTCCGTGTCCGATCGTCTTCTTCCTCTTCTTCTTCCTCGTCTTCCTCATCTTCTTCGTCGTCGTCATCCTCATCCTCATCATCGGGTGGATCATCCGGAGGTCCTCCTCCGCCACCAGTGAGGCTCAACTGACGTCGACCCGCTCCCCGCCCGTTCCCATTGGGCGGGAATCCACCGTAATCCAATGGGGGCGTAGTACCGTTGTTTCCCCCTCCATCACCACCACCAGTCGTAGTAGTGGATCGTGGAACATGTCCAACTACCCCTTGCATCTGGGATAGGTGTACATCGATCATTGGATCACCGAAAGACGGAAAGAGGATCGAACCTGGCATCAGCGACGAATTAGGGATTTGATTTGAAGACGATGACGGGACTGACCCAGCCACCCTCTTATCTACCCTATTTGAATTAGCCTGGGCTCCTCCCTCAGCGCGTTTCACTACTGCTCGTTCACGATGTCCATCTCTGCTGCTGGAGGCCTCCTGTGTCTCCAGCTTCTTGTGTGCACGTAGTTCCTCGTTGTCAGCATCGAGTTGGCGTACAAAACTCTCTTCTTGCTTGAGCGTCGCCTCCCTTTCTTTCAGTTGTCTCTGAAGCTCATGCATCTCCTCGAGGTACTCATCGTACATTCCTTTGGCTGCCAATCTCCAGTGTTCAGCCTCCTTCGACTTCTCGTCCATCGTGCACCGTTCCTCTTGTTTCTCTTCTTTGACCTGGGCTAATTCCAAGATCGCATCTTGACGATGACCGCCTTCGACAGCGATCATCTGGTCCCTCATCGACACGTCGGACTCATACTGCCTGACGATCTCTTCCTTTTCGCGAAGCAAGCAATCTGCCCTCTTCGATTCTTGTTCCGCAAATGCTGTAACGTCATTCAGCCTCGTCATCAATTGTTCCCTGGAGTCCTCCAAAGAGTACGTCTCGGGGCGCTTGACGAGTGCATGCTCCAACTGTGATTTCAGACTTTGGACCATCTCCTCCTCATTGAACTTCTCGATAGATGTAGAAGATTCTATGCCTCTGATCTGTTGCTGATAAACTGATATCTGTTGTGAAGCCTCACGGTGTATCTGATTTGCACGGATAGCTGATTCCTGCGCGGCCGACTTCTCGCTTGCCATGTAGGATTTCATCAGTGCAATTTCCCGCTTCTGCTCCATGACAGTTCCTTCAGCTTGTCTCATCTGTTGCATTATAATATTCGACTCCATGTCTTTCTTCTCCCCGTACTGAAATGCGTTCATTTCCACCTTGCGCATCTGTTGAGCTTCTTCCTCAAACTTGCGCCATGCCTCAGCCATGTGGTGTTGGTGGTGACTCACTAGATGTCCCGACTGCTTGCTGGCAATCTCGCATCGTCTTTCCAGCTCCTGGATCCGGATGGTGCTTCCATAGTCTTCTTGGTTAAGATTCGCCATTGCTGCCGACATTTCATCAAGAGTCTTCTGATATTCCCCGATCTCCACCTCCATCTTATTCTTCTCTTTGATCACGGCGCGAAAATCTGCACTGGTGGGTGATTTTGACCTCCCACCCTTCGATGTCGATCTCACGCCTTTCTGCGAAGTCCGTGGTGTCGCAGGCGAAGATGATGATCTCCTCGGTGGTGATTCTCTTTTCTTCGACTCCTGATGAACATCGATCTGCTTCCATGATCTTGTGGGAGTAGATATGTCGCTGAATAGCGCGGAACCTCCGCTCCCAGGTTCGTCCTGTGAATCCGCAATCATATCCATCACCGCAGGAAGAGCCATCAATCCATTGGATCCCTCCGAGCTGCTGTTCCCAAAAGTTGCAGTACTTGGGCTTGCCGAAGACGCCATTGTACTGTATAGTTTATCGTTCCTTTATTGTCCCTGTACCCGCAATAAACCAGCTGTCTCCCAGTCCAGTGTAGAGCTTGTAGTTACGGCTGATAACCTGTCAAGAGACGGCAAGTTGACGTCCCGTGGGACGCTATGCACCGAACCCTCAAGCTGTAATACCAACCACGTAGAAAGGTGTATACGGACGATGCCGTTATAGCCGAACCCGTGTAAATGTTGTAAGGGAGAAGGATTGATAGTTGCAACAGTGGTCCTGACGAATGCAGCGCAAGCGGAGTGTTTTCGCTCTCAATGCCAATCACGTAGGTACGCAGTCACACATCAGATCTTGAACCTCAGTTGTGTCTTGAGCCAAATGGCGATCAATGGAACTTGGTAAGCAACACCAACAAGGACCTCAGAACAGCTACCCAATTTCGGCACGGGGCCTAGAGGGTTTTAACACACTGAACGACAAGTGGCCCCTCCCTGCACTGAATTTTGCACTGAATCAGTGCAGCATGGCGCTGTTCATGTTGAATTCCCCCTAGTGCGTTGCTCCCATGTTCTTGAAGCGCCCCTTGGGCAAGATTTGACAAGGCGCAGGCCTGCAGGCCTGCAGTTTGCAGTACATCCACTTCATTCTGAAGGCCCAAACATCAAGGCGGGGCAGCACTGAACAAGTTCTGCTAATGCCACTGAACAAGTGGCCCCTCCCTGCACTGAATCAGTGACTTTTCAAGTGCCCCCTCCCCAGAAAAGCTTCCATGTCCAGGCAGGGCCAGGGTTGACAGGGTTGGCCGGCATGCCTGCAGTTTGTGCATCCACTTCATTTTCAACCAGGCGGGGCAGGACTGAACAAGTGCTGCTCATGCCACTGACAAGTATCAGTTCAGCATGTCACTGTTAAACTGACCTCTACGCTGTTTGCCTTTCCCCCCCCTCCCAGATTCCCATGGGGCGCAGGCCTGCAGGCCTGCAGGTTGCCAGACTCAGTACAATCACTTCATTCTCAAGGCCCAACCAACCAGGCGGGGCAGCACTGAACAAGTGCTGCTAATTGCCACTGAACAAGTGGCCCCAGTGTGACTGTTCAAGTCCTCCCCAGAATTGCCTCCTAGTGCGTTGCTTCCATGTTCCTGAAGGGTCTCATGGGCAAGATTTGAGAGGGCGCAGGCCTGCAGGCCTGCAGTTTGCAACTTCATTCTCAAAGCCACTGAACAATGACAAGTGGCTCCTCCCAGTCAAGTGCCCCTCCAGGCCTGCCAGCCTGCAAACAAGACCTAGCAGTATGTACATCCAGGCGGGGCGGTGCTGAGCAAGTTCATGGTTGCCCCCCCCTTCCAAGTGTAGCGCCCCGTTGCGCAATCACCCCCTCCTCACTCCCACATGCATCACTCAGCGCTCAAATGTAGCCTTGCTTTTGACGGGCGCACTTCCATGGGCAAGATCATGGCCTTAAACCATGATGTCAACTGTTGCAGATGATTGGCCTGAGGGCCACTTCAAGTTTAACATTTCAATGCAGCCATGCTGCTCAAACTTCCGCCCCTCAGGAACTTTGACTTCCACCATTTTCTTAAGTCTGAAGCACACACCGTGATGTTATTTCTAGCCTCAGTGTAGGGAAGCTTGCCAGCATTACCCGGCCCATAGCTTTTAAGAGTCGCAGGAAAGTAGGACATTCGCAATGTGCAATTCTGCCACTTCACCCTTCCCCTGCTGACTTCCTGCGCCAGCATCACCAATGAGAGCTGAAATGTTCAAGCACCCCCTCAACAAACTGCCTTACCCTGCGCTGCGCAACAAGGCGCAGTGCAATCAAGTGAAGGTCCAGTCTATGATTGCCTTTAACAGCTTTGGCATGGTCCACACACACATCACCACACCCTTGCGTGGCTTTGCGCGGTAAGCCACTTGCCAAGGATCCACCCTTCTTCTGCCGCCCTTATGCCGCCGCGGCTGTGCCCAATGAGCCTTGGATGCAGCCATGAACAGTCAGAATGCCAATCTTGCATTCCCAAATTTCGCTTAGACATGATGTCAATGTATTGTGGAGTCTGCATGCAGCATTTGCTCAAGTAGTATGCATTGTTGCCGCCTCCTGGCGCTAGACTTGCTAAGCGTGGCAATGGCTAGTAAGCAAGCGGCAAAGCCAAAGATCCAAGCAAAAGCACTGCCACAAGAAGCGCCGCAACAACCGCCACCTACAGCTTCAGGGAGCAGGCCAGGTGCAAGCAAGCCATCAAGTGAAATGCGGCCACCAGAGCCAAGCAATCCACCGCGAAAGCCGCAGCAGCAAACGCCACCAGACCAAGTGCAGGAGCCACAGCGGCAGCAGCAGAGCCAACCCGGCCCACAACAGCACCCAGCTGGCCAGACACCAAAGGCAGCAGGACAAGCAGGCCTTCACAACCAGGGGGCAACAGCTCCAGCTGCTCCACTTCAGCAGGCTTGGGCAGCAGGCCAGCAGGCCAGCAGGCCCACAACCCAGGCGGCATGGCCACAGGCTGTTCACAACCAGGGGCCATGTCCATCGGCGCCACTTCTACAGCCTGGAGCACCAGGCCAGCAGGCCAGCAGCCCCACACCCCAGGCAGCATGGCCAGAGGCTGTTCACAACCAGGGGCCATCTCCATCAGCACCGCTGCAGCCTGGAGCACCAGGCCTGCAGGCCGCATTCGCCTTTGTCCCACGCATCCTCCAAACACAATGCCCCAACAATACTACACACCATTCCCAATGCCAGCAGTTTGGGCACCAGGGCCACAGGCAGAGGCCAGCGCTGCACCCTCCGAGCCTGCCTCCGAGACTGCCGCCAAGAAAGGATGCCCTCCCAGTGTCAACCGCCGCCTCGACAAGCGGCTTCAAGACCGATCAATGCAAATGGCGCAGGACGCATTTGCAGACCTGAATGAAATGCAGCGGCGGTTTGCAGATCAAGTTGCAAGGGCTCTGATCAACCACCAACTGGCCATCTCAGAAGCTAACGAGATGAACATGCAGCTGGTGAAGCAAGTGCAGCAAATGCAGTCAGACCACCGGGTGCAAATAGTCAATGAGAAGAGATTGCATGATGAGGTTCAAAGATCCCTTCACTCCTTGATTGCCAAGCAACATAGTGAGCTGGAGAATCTCCGACAACTCCTGCTCGCAGGCGTGGGGTCTTCCACTGACAGGCTGGCAGGCCAGCAAGTGCAGAGGCGGCAAGAAGACAAATCTGACATGGACGAGGAGCACGTCAAGAAAAAGGTGAAGAAGGAGAAGGCTGACAAGAAGGATGACAAGAAGCACAAGAAGGGATGAGTGAGAGACATCAATTGTCAAGTAGCAGAGAGGGGGGTAGCACATATACACAACGTGAGTGCATTAAGCATAGAATGTTGACAAAACACAGCAGGCATGCAGGCCAACAGGCATCAGTAAGCACAGTATGCAACACACCAAGCCTCTTGATGCGCATGCCGTTTCACCACGCTCTCAATCTTGCAAAAAAGGGTGTAAGTGTCTATCTACCCATGGTGTGTGTGTGTGTGTTCTTTGGTTTGCCCCCCACCACTCTGAATCCAAGGAGCTGGCAGCCGCCGCTACACACCCACTGGCTGCCAAAGCCTGCAGGCGGGGCCACAATTTCACCACACGTTGCAATCCAAATTTCATAAGCGCCGTGTTGCAACCTTACTGGCAAGCTTGTGGATGTGGCCAGGGGAAAGCTGAATTTGCAGAGACTCCTTGTTGCAGGCCCGCAGGCCTGCACATCGGCCAACGCCAAGCAGAACAGTCCGGGCCTCACGCTCACGCGGCAAGGGGCTGTCTCGGAACTGTCTCGGAAGGAGGCCTTGTCTCACAAACCGTGGTTTCCAAGACATGTTGCTTTAAACGTTTCTTTGCCAAGCGTTTAGCAACTTTCAAAACTGTGACGCTCCTTTTTATAGCAAAATGAGGCAGCTGCTGAAGCCTGAACCTGCAGGCCTGCAAGCCAGCCATGGCTGTGCCACCCTAGAGCTTGGCAATGACTCCACGCTCAATCCGGTAGGCCTGCTTCGTGCATGCCATTGGAAACATCCCCTTGAACTTGTTTGCCTGCGGGTCAAACTCCAGCCCGAACTTCATTTCCACCTTGGTCAGCTTGCCCAGGTTTGTGTAGAGGGACAGCCTGTTGATCTCGCGAGGGGGGAAGGGCTTGTTGTCATCACCTGGCTCTTCAACGCTTGCCTTGAGCCCTGCTGGCTCCAGTGCTTTCACTGTCCAAGACACGTTGGAGCCATTGACTTCGTTTGCAATGGTGTGGAGGTGCAAGGCTGGCTGCGGGAGGGAAGCCATTGTCATTTTGTTCAAGATGTCCTGAAATGCAACAGGCTTCTCGGCAAAAGATCGCATGCATGCTGGCATCTCAGTGCCAGCCTTTGCCTTGGGCACCACTTTGGAAGTGGGGGTGATGCTGTAGGGAATCAAGCCCCCGGTCTCCTCCAACGACTTTGCCTCCGGGCCTGTTTTGAAGAAGCCAAACACCGGGAAGACGGGGCCATCAAGCACGGTCTCGGCCAAAGCCTTCACGTAGAGATCGCCCTGCTTGCTCACCCAGAACTCGTGCGTGGTCACCCCTGCCGGCTGATAGCGCCCCATGCCTTCCAAGCCACTGTCCTGAAGGTCTGAGCTGAGCGTCACGTTGCTGGTCTCTTCCTTGGTGGCCACCTGCAGCCTTAGACACCCGGACAACAATGAAGCAAAACACCTACCTGCCAGCATTGTGTTGGCCTTAAGTGTCCAGTCAAGGGGCTTTTTTTTGTGTGGTTGTGTCTGCTGCTCGCTTCCGGCCAACCTTCCCTTCTGGGTTGAATTCCTCCTCATGCTTCTTCTTGATGTCGGCCCAGGACATGTTCTTCCAGACCTCGCAGTCTGGCAAAGCAACCTCTCCGCAAGAGCAGCCCTTATCCAAGGTCTCCTGCAACCAGCGCAGTTCAAACTGTTGAGGAACGCTCAGCTGGAACTTGTCCATGTCCAAGACGGGCGCCTGCTGGCTGACAGGCCTGCCTGCCTGCAAGCCTGCTGGCAAGGGTGCCAAATCATAACTACCGCGGGCAATGTCTCCCTTCACAGACTCCGCGACCGCCTGCTCCACATTTGCCAGGATTGCTTCCTTGTGGGAGGCTTGGACGCCCCACGTTACCCCAACATATGCCAGCTTGGGCCAAGCCCTGTCCTTGACAGCATTCATGCGCTGGACTGCAGAGGCAAGCTCTGTGTCATACATCGTCTCATCTTTGATCATCAGGGTGTTCTGTGCGGTCAGCCTTGTGCCTTGGCAAGCCGCAGTCAGGATCTCAGCGTACAACTGCGCCCCTGAAAGCCACTGCTTCCTCTCCACATCCAGATCGCGGTTAGTGTCCCGGGCCCAGGCGCAAGTGTGAAGCTTGCAGAAGTTGGCCATGTCTTTCCGGGGCATGCACTCCAACTTGTTGGTTACAGCCTTCCTGCGGAACAAGGTGGAGGCTCCAAAGACGTTCTTGCGGGCCAATTCTGCCTCCACCGATGAAGCAACCACAAGCCAGAATTCAAATCCAAGATCTCGATCATCACTGTACATAGTCTCAATGTTGAAGAGGCCTGTGGCGCGCCAAACCACCAAGTCAGAGTTGCTCTGCAACTCCTGGAACCACAGGTCGCGGTGGATTTGGATCTTTTTCTCCTTTTCCCTCTTGTTGACTTTGCCGACTCGTGCTTCAGGCTGGTTGGGCGGGAAAATGACATAGGCAGAAGTGCTCGGCATGGAGTTCAGCTGAGTCGCCACATGCGCGGCCAGAGTCTTGGTGTGGAAGGAGGCCTGGGCGCCCAGCATTGGCAAATTCAGGAAGCTGAGAGTGGGGATATCTTCCCTGCTGATCAACATCCTGCCAGCCAGCTGGGAATGAGCAGCTTGAGTCAAAGTCTCTGCTGCTGCCAGGCTCTTCGCCATCATGCACTGATAGAACAGCTTGTGCTCTTCCCACAAATTGTTCACAGCATCGGTCACGGACTTCTGAAACTCACATTCTGTGGCTAAGGCCTGCGTGCTGTGCCTTTGACTGGCAGCTTTGTGCCCTCGCATCAAATCTTGCTCAGCTTTCAAGGCACGGGCGAGGCCTGTAAGCCTGCGTGCCTGCTCCTCAGCTTCTTCGCTGCGGTCGAAGCTATCAGGCAACTTCACCATGGCCTGCTCTTGGGTCAGCACAAATCCCAAGTCCTTCACTTCGAAGTCAGGCCTCATGGCCATTGCCTCGGACATCAACTTATTGTCAAGGAGCCCCTTTCTCCACTGCGACATAAGGACAGTGTGGTTCTTCTCGCTGCCACTGATGGCGAGGATCTGCTCACGGAAGTGCACCATCATGCAGGCCATGATAGAGACCTCCTGCTCCTTGCCAACATCACGAAACTGCCCAATCTGGCTGCTGGAATGGATGGGAGGCACCATCCCTTGCTCAAGAACTCCTCACCTTAAAAGGACGACAAGTTGAGACTTTTTATCAGTTCTGCCTGTCACCTCACAACAGTTCTCACTGAATTCAATCAAGGGGCATTTGGCGTTCCACTTCCCTTCAAGCCGGCGAATGTATTCGGCAACCTTGTCCCAAGAGTGGCTGCAGACTGTGTGCCAGAGAGGGTTCTGCTGCGCATTCACCTTCAGTGATAATGACTTCTTTGGCAGCCAGAAGTTCCCAGACAGCAAATGAAGAGGAACGGCAGTGTGGGCTGGGACCTCTGTCCCCCAGATCACTTTCAGCATGCGTCGAATGTCTGGCGGGGCTGCGTCGTAAACGTACAGGGCAGTGACCTCATCTGGCATGATCCTCGCTTTGTTGACTGCCTGCTTGTTGTGGCGATATATGGACTCTTGCAGCAAGTCTGCCCGAGTCTTGCGGCTGCCTGATGCCAACTTCTTTGTCACAATCTTTTCAAACCTCAGCGTGCATATCGGAAGATGCAAAGCATGCAAAGCCATGTCCCCTGACAGGTAAGCATGACTGAGTCAAAGGCATGTAGTGCATGTTGACCACAGTTGGCCTGACCCTGGCTGTAGCATCCGTCTTGACCCGCAAGCTCTCCATTGTCTGAGACTCCACACTCGATTGCGGGCAGTGCGTTGCAAAAATACCTAGGCAAGTTGAGGTCAAGATAACTCGGGCTGCAGTGTCGCTGTGTGCTTGGGCTTGGGCAACACGTTTCAGCCAAGACACGGATGCACTTCAGGATCCTCTCAGAGATGTCTTTCCGCAACTCCTTTTCAAAGGTGGACAAGTCCAAGCCCAGCTGAAGCACTCCCCAGCAGACAAGGTGGGATGCCATTGTGACAGAAGACCCCGTGCTCAGACTGACGCTGAGTGGTAGTATCCCATCAGCCAGCAGGCCTGCTGGCCTGCTGCTGTCAGGCATGGGCTCGCACCAGTCAAACAAGACCTCGAGTGGGTATTTCTCGGTTTCGTTTCCGAAGCCAGCCAGGAATTTTTGCATATTGTCTCGCACAGCATGCAATGGAGGAGCACCCTTGACATGGCAATCTTCTTGGACTCCGAGCTGCCACAAACGCAGCGGACGCTTCTCATACTTGCCCCCCCCAGCAAACTTTTTGGTCTGAAAGTCCAGGATCGGGTCTGCTCCAGCAGAAGAGCAGCATAAGGACTCCAAATCTTGAAGCTTCTTCACATATTCATCCCGCAGCGTTTGTGTGCTCAACTGGGCTGACATCCATTCGCAAACGTCCACATACTTGGGGTAGCCATCTGGAGTCTTCTGGTCGATTGACTCTTGGAGGAGTTTCATCACATCCTTGAAGATGCTCAGCAAAGCATTTTGGTGAGGTATGGGTTCTCCAG